AAGGGCAATAACTCCAAAATTAGGCAAGGCAAGGTTATGGTTATTTTGAATTCCTCTTTTACCCAATAAGATATATCCATCTGCAGAGTTGTGTCCCGGACAAGAAAAACGGATGGACTGACGGGCAACCGGACGGACAGACAGACGGTCACAGTGGCGAATTTATGCTATCCTTGGGGAGCAAGAAAAACGTGTAAACACAGTAAGTGTTGGAAGTTGTTTCTCGCCAAAAATTCAATAACCTATCAATTGCTATTTGTTGGATTGCAAAAATAATACCACTTTTGAACACCGTTGGACATACAACATGTCTTGAGTATGTATGCTTCCTTCTTGATTCTTCAAAGTGGTAGCAAGACTGCCAAAGGAAAACAAATAGAGAGATAATTATTTTAGAATTTATTAGTACATGACTCAACAAAAAAAATCATGTACAAAAAATAAATATGTGCATGCTCTTTGGTCATTTTCAATTTGCATCAAGGGTTAAAATTGCTGGTCAAAGTTTTTGACAAATCTTTCCACAACAGTAAAAGAATTGCATTATTTTGTCTATTTAAACAAGAATTGTAACGATGATCTTTTAATGTGGTTACAATTCCTTTAAAAGGAGAATGGTGTCTCAATGCTCTAGAAATACAAAGTGACCTCTACAGAAAACATGACGCTAGTTTTCCCAGCATTTTTAAGAACAGATGCTTTTGTAGCACATGGACTATAAATTCCATGTTTTTTTCGAGAACATTATCCTATTGTAGCTGCTGCTCTGGCATGGGGCCTTTCTTGGAAATGTAAAAAATCTATTGTTTCTTTGTGACAATGAAGGGACGGTAAATATTGTACATAAAGGGCGCCCAAAATGCTTGGATATTATGAAATTAATGAGAAACTTGACATGGATAGCTGCTGTTAATTACTGTACTTTAATGTCACGGCATATTGCAGAGAAACAATATCGCTGACTCTCTTTCTCTCTTTCTTTGTCAAGAACAAAATTCATGAAAATAAAATAAAATCAGTTCTAAAGATTATTGGTTTGGACGATTCTAAATACAATGGTCACAGTTTTCGAATAGGTGCAGCTACAACATGTGCAAAAATGAAAACAGAAGACCATCTGATTAAAACCCTAGGCCATTGACCTTCTAATTTAATTGAGTATAAAAACATCAAGTATTTGTACATTACATCGAGAAATATCATACAATCCTTACAGGATGCGATAAATAACAATTTTCTATGTAAAATATTTCTTTTTTTTGTCATTGAGCAAGGCATAGATTAAAATAAAATCTTATGAAACTCGACCCTATTTTCAAAATTGAGCAGTAGACTTCTATTTTGACACCGGGAACACAAATTCTTTATTTCATCGAAATCTGTAAAATTGAAATTTTTGTAACATTTAATAATGTTATGAAGCCAGGTTAAGTTGATCAAAATAAATCATCACGTGACTCAGCCGAGACATCTTTTTCGTAAAACCTTTTTTCGTAAATTTGGTCCAACTCCAGACCATTTTATTTGAAAGATCCCGAATAACCAGAAACAAATTACCATATTCCTTGTAAATTTTTAATATGTTACATGAATGCATCTAAGAAGTTATATTTTACTAAATGCAACTAATTGAAAGAATCAATTAGTACGAGTAACAACCTTACATTACAAGATATTCTATAGTAGCGACATATTTTATATGTCTGACTACAAAATTACAAACAATATTTTTTCAGATACTATATGAATACATTAGAGCATTACTCTCATGAGTTGCATTAGCTAAATAAAAGAATATGTAATACATATTTTTCTCTTTTTACGTATAACAGTGTATCTTAGCAAGAACCCTTATGTTTAGCATTATTTTGCTTATTTATTTTTAAAGAAATTCAATTTGTTTTCTCCAGTAAAGCTTATCTGTATAATATGAAAAGCTTTAAATGATCTTCCGGGCAAAATTTCACTTCGAAAATACATATGAGGAAAGCAATATCAGCCAACATTAATATTTTGGGATATTTAGGTATTTTGCGGCCATCTTTGACGCCATCTTTGATTTCTAAGCTACGCATCGGATTTGATCTAAATGAATACTCATTCCAGAAACTAAATACACAGACGAACTTTTATTTGGTTAATAAAACTTGCTGTTGGCTTACATAGACAACTTCGATGTCATTTTTCCCAACGAATTTGGAACACTTATAATGTCGGCTTCATAACCTCTGATCCCTTTCAAAATACCATTTTATTTAGTTCCATCCATTGTTTTTTCGTTAAGGGCACACATTCTTTTACTTGGACCATACGCCGCTTTTCGTGGAATGGCACTACTGTGTCACATTGAAGGTTCCATGATAACCGCCGTATGGACACATCTGCGGATGTTTCAACATTCAAAATTTTACCATTTTCGTGTTTAAATGTTGAATTTTGCTTAAGCCGGTGCTATGGGGCGTGGGCGGTAGTTTGCACTTGACAGTAACGTCCATGAACAGGCTCAATTAAACCGAGTCTGCAACATTTTCAATTTTGCTGTATTGGGCCTTCTTTAGGGATTCTTATTTTCTCTATTGTGTCTGAAGGATTTGAATGTTTCGGACACACTTGGAAAGAGAAAACTGACAAGAACGTTGACTAGCGTTATAATCAACTTGTTGTTTGTTTTTTAAGTAGTTTAAAGTTCTGAAAACTTGGAATGAGAACACTGACTAGAACATTGAATAAAATTTCAATCACTTGGAATGAGTGTTCTTATTGGATTCTTGCTCATTGTACTGCACAGTGAATAGCCTTTCAAATTTCTCGCGCATAAACAAGTGTCTTCAGGATTTGTGCATTGTGTTTGTCTATTCCCTTGATTATAGAGAAATCATAATTATGGTGAAATAATTGTTAACTCTTTGATAAAAGCAAAAAACATTGGCACGTTTGTTCATTAAACAATTCTGTTGAATTTTAGCTATAGACCCATCTTCAATTTTCAAAATGCCCGCCATTTTCAAGATGGCCAACAAGATGGCTTCCATAAGATGAAACAATTACTGGAAATATACGTTTAATAAATTCAGAAATGGTTAATAAATTTATTAATTTCATGTTGCATACATATATATCAGTGTTTATCTCTAATAATATTTTAATTTAAGTGTTCCATTTATTTCAAAATGGCTTTCAAAATGGCCGTCAAATGCACAAAATTGTTGTGTTTTTTTTTTTGCTTTAAGGTGTAATTGATGTATTCATTTCTTACATTTTGATTGTGTATCACTTTCAGTCATAGATATACCAGTATCATTACCTACACAATTAATAACACGGACCCTGAACCTCGCCTGTAAGTTTATCATCGGTTACAATTTCCACCACACAGACAAAGAGCATTTTCACCTCCAACGACAACCGATCTAGGGACTACAGCTACACTTCAGTGATTTCTGGCAAGACTCGTATGTTGTGGTGTTGTCAAGAACGGCTCACATGTATTATCCTGACATTCCACCCAACCACAGTTACTTGGAGAAGGAAGTTCTTGGGAGGACGAAAGCATCTGTCTCCAGCAGTACTCAGCTTGGTATGCAGGTCGTCTAGTGTGCTGTAAAAGGGCAACATGTGTCGATGTTATTACATCAATAGATCTCCCTTTTCGTGTACAGAGGTCTTAATGCGCTTCGTTGACTCTTGGTCGTACATAAGTATTACAAATTACTCCAACTTTGTCATAACAGTGGCAATAGATGGAGTTTGACTAAACCTTAAATGCTTCGACAGCTTCACTAAATGCCTTTAAGCCCCCCCCCCATTTTATCTTTGCCACAGAACGGTGAAGTTTGTCACATCCAGTAAATGCATGGAATGACAATAAACCACTTGCCATATCCTAACCAAGAGCGTAACAGAGTTTATGTACAGGTATATATCTAAATTGCTTTCCAGTACCAAATGCTATCCATAACTCTTGTACATTCAAATGTTGCTAGGCTGTTGTAGCTATGACAAATACATCTGTATTAACAGTTCGTACAATGATTTTTGTATTGTTTAGCCTTGCAGCATGAGCAACATGAATAAAAAGCCTTGCATCTGCTTCTGCGTATGTACATGGAGATATGCTACTCCTTTGTACTATTGGTATATTGCTCAGAACGTCTGATCCTTTTGTGGTTATGATCTGCTGATTGTTTTCACATGTTAATGTTGTCACCTGATCTGCTACTGATATCGTTTACACCATAAAATCAAAACAAAAAGAAAAACAAAACTTTAATTTCCGGCTGATATCCCTAAACAAACTTCAATGTAAGACTTTAGATCAAGTTCATTAAAAGGCCCATTTTGTGCCAGAAATGCTTTTTATTTCAGTTTCTCAAAAGCATTTTATTTTTGTTGTAGTGGTGATACAATTTCCAAAACGTTACTCACAGTCCAATTACCTCAACCATCTTTTGCTTCGTTGCATCTTGACAGTTTGCTTTGCTAATGTATTGCTTCTTTGTTGACATATATTCTCTTACTCAGCTCTACTATGTGCATGCTCTAAAGCATTATTTAAACTTTATGAAACTCAAATGTGCAACGAATTGACCTCAATAACTATCAAAATAGAAAACAATAGGGTCCAGCTGACTTTACATTGCTCATCTGATTGCATTATGACCACCAATGACCACCAAAAAATCATTTGTGCCAAGCTTGGTTATTTTTCTTTCATATGTTGCTACGAAAGCACCATAAAAGCTGTAAATTGCTACATTTTCTCAGTCAAGGACAAAAGCTCTACAAATACTTAGCAAATCAACATGCGAAACCCCACGTACACAACTACACATGCTTATAAACCTTTCTGTAATTTAAAAGATTCTTGACTCTAGGTCAAATACCTTTAGATTGAGAGGTTATGACACAATATGTAAACGGACGCTTGCATGACCGGATGGACAAGGTCATCTATTTTCACCCTTCTAAAATTTAAAACGATAAACGAAGAATTCACTTACTTGAAGCTTGCTTTGATCGGCTTGGCGATTCCTGTGAAAAGAATGAAAGATAAAATTATGATATTTGTGATGGTGGTTGATGAACTATTGAGCGTTATTTATCTTAAAATGTAAAGCAATTATTAATATCTTTTCATTGAAAATAAATTATTGATAGCGATTCGGATAGGACTGTCCTAAAACAGGGCGATAAAACCACTTGATTATGTTTATTATATGATTATTATGACGATTTATCCGGCTCAATTTCTTGTCAGTAACAAAATATGAAAATAAAAAAATTCCCTATTCGCCCAGTTATTGACGGACATTTAGAAAGTCGTGATATTTTGTTAATAAATGCAATTGCTATTTGATGAAGTTGAAAAATGTTAAACTTACAACAAAAAGTGAATCAAGTATGCATACATGCAAGGACTTGACCTCGACCCAGGTCCCCAGTCCCCAAATTCAACTTTAACTTAGGGAACATTTGTTTAGAATTTATTGTTTACAACAGTAACATTGACATTGATACAAGTGATTCCAAGTTGCCCTAAAGCTAAAGGATCAATACTAAATATGAGAGAAATCATAAATTAATAACTTTACTAGGAGAACTTAAAGATAAAAACATTTTGCTGGAATAGGTTGACCATACCAGGTCCTATATTTTGAAAAAGGGGAATAACTTAGAAAAAATGGATAGCACAGTTTTATTATTTGCCCATACCATGAACTGTGATTGATATTTAAACGTGCAAACTACGAAGTCATTAATACAGACAGAATTTAACATAAATCTAAAATAGATAAAAACAGAATCCCTAAAGAAAGCCCAACACGGCAAAATTGAAAATGTTGCAGGCTCGGTTTGATTGAGCCTGTTCATGGACGGTACTGGAAAGTGCAAGTTACCGTCCACGCCCCCTAGCACCGGCTTAAGCAGAATTCAACATTTAAACATGAAATGGTAAAATTTTGAATTTAGAAACATCCGCAGATGTGTTCATACGGCGGTTATCATGGAACCTTCAATGTGACACTTCCGTGCCATTCCATGAAAAGCGGCGTATGGTCCCCAAGTAATAAAAAGCGTGTGCCCTAAACGAGAAAACAATGGGCGGAACTAAATAAAATGGAATTTTGAAAGGGGATCAGAGGTTATGAAGCCTGCGTATCACAGATAAAACGTCAAAAGACAAATTTAAAAAGCAGGCAACATATCCTAAGGGTGATTCAACATTATTCAAGTAGGAATATTGGAACCACCCAACTAGAAAATGCCGAAAAATTGAAACTAAAAATACCACAAGTACAACAATAATGTCGTGCTGAACGATCTTCAAGGATCGGAAATATAACATCATTGATTAAATGTACGGGGAGACTTTTTACAGCCGCCACACGGCACAAATAACACGGATGTGATCATAAAATAGATAAAAACAGAATCCCTAAGTTGCCGGTTTGGGTGTACCATATCCATTAAAAAAATGAAATAACTTCGAAACAATGCTAGCAATAGTTATATAACTTGGCACGATCAAACACTTTGTATCTTTGTATTGGAAAGTGTGAAAAGAATGAAACCATTGGTACTGCTTGAATGTTCAACTTATAGGATTATGTTAACCTGTTTCAGGCAGACGTACGGAGGAACAGTTCAACTACTACATACCCGAGAAAACAAAACTACTAGAGTTTTGTCCATAAATTAAGCCAGAAAATAGCAAAAGCAATAACTAAGAATATAAAACAAATATGAAAAAGTGAGTTTCATTTGAATGTTCAACATTATATTCCCAGATATGCTCCCAGCAAGTATTTATCATAAGAAAGGGAAATAAATGAAAAATATAAAACATTATATAACTTGAGTTATGCACATTTCATCAATGGGATTTAGCACACATTGAAATACATATCTTAAAAAAATTCTCTGGCATGGTTTAGGGAAATAAGTAAACAATAGTTCGGAGAGTTATCACTCTTGTGCATAGCACACCGTCAAATTGAGATGTATATAGATATATCTATAAACATTTCAAACAGATTTGTCTAATAATTATCGAGTTATAGTCCAGACAGAAATAAAGAATAAAAATAATGAAAGGTAATTACTCAAAATTATGATGGGTACAGTTATCATATATGTGCATTGCGCTCTTTCTTAAACATGTTTATATAGCTTTAAAGATTCAACATGTTTCAAGGTGCGCTCTGGACAAAATATAGCATAAAAAGAGACAAAGTAAGCATTGCAGACAAAAAGAAAAAAGTAAATAAGAAAGGTACAGATAACATTCTTGGAAACGGCACTGCTCCTGAATAAGATCTATGATGTTTCAAGTTCATATCTCAAATTTGACTGATGTAAAGCAAATAAAATATACATTTAAGTTATAGGAGTATTCCATTCTATATTTTAAAAAGGATTTGTTACTCCAAATTCGAAGAAGATGAACACAACACAAAGATTATTTGGATGTTTGGATAACATTTTAGCTCATCAGAGTACATCGTACTCAAAGGGCAATTCTTGTAATGACAGTGTATGTCTTTTGTCGCCAGCCGTTTTTCATACTCAACCATGATATTGATTTTGACATAAACATACAAAATATCTTTAGATGACCCTCTTACATAAAATGTATCTGTTTCCAGTTTGATACATAAGAAGGTCGCAAAATCTTAAACTAGTCTGAATAATAAATGGAATTTCAAAACTATTGTTCTACAATGAAATCACAATGGGCCAAAAGCTTTGAACTCAGCAAAATAATAAAACTATTACATGGTTTGTAAATGGGCATATTTCGATTTCATATTGATATATCCGGATATATCTGATTACAATGTATTCCTTTGAGATTTTGTTTCGATTCACTCACACTGATCTAACAAAAAGAAACAATTTATACACATTATAACAAATTCCGACCTAGGGATCCAAAAAAAAATCAGGAATGAAAGGCGATAGTAAACTAGACATAAGAGATTCTGAATCGTGGAATAAAATTTAATATTGTTTATCAGAACGATTAAGTAACGTGTGTGGCCGCCCCAGTAATTAGCAATACATGTTCGAATTTTCAGCCTCATGGAGTGAACGTAACGCCTGCTTAAGACGTTAGACAGGGTCCGGCATTCCACATGCAGTACCGGAACGAGGTCGTTAACGTTATCTATCTGGTAAAGTGTCCTCACTCATCCAAGACGTGTAAAATGACATCCATATCCGGACAGCGACCAGGGCAAGACGTTAATGTGGTCGCGAGCAAGAAAATTGGTTGTTAAACAGGCGGTGTATGGTCTTGCATTGTATTGAGGTCCTCTACAGAGGTATATAACGTATGCCAATTCGGTCAATCTTTGCCTCGCCCCTAGGATCACTTAATTTATATGTTGGTCTTTTTGTAAAACTGCAATGCTTGTAGCTTTAATATTTTACATGCAAAAATGGCTAGTGAACCTCTACAGAATTGTTATAAGTCATGAAAATGTGATAAAAAAATCCAAGTCTTTTTTGCCATTAAGTACACATAGACTTATAAATAGAAAAGAAAAGTTTTAAAAATTTCTTTGTGGAAAATGGAATGCCAACAGTAATATAGAATCTGGAAACAATATGATCACAACAGAATTGCATGCGAATTGTAGACTCGGTTTAAGTCAAAACTAATCAGTTCGTTTGTATACTTAGTGTCTTTATACTTATAAACGTAAACAAATTGTAGTATTCATTTTAGAAACTGCTTAGCCAAAATCCTTGATATTTTGAATGTAGCATTGCCTAGTACAAATGAGAAAAATGATCTAGGTAACGGAGTTGGGGTCTTGTTTGTTTATAACACCCATGTTATATTTTAAGCAAGTTGTAGCCCATATATTGATATAACAATATCATGATCGATGCATTTAATCTTAAACTTTCAGAGAATTTTGAATAATATTAAAGATACCGTTACAGAAATGATACTCACATGAATATATTTAATAAAGTATCGATATAGATGAATCAATCTCAGAAATTCAAACAGAAGTCTTAATCTTGTATTTTATTTTATATATAATTACAATAGTCATTTTTCATGATTGTTGACTTTAAAATAATGGCCCATCACAGTTAAGGTATTGCCTATATATTGATATATAACAATGTCATGATCGATGCATTTAGACTTAAAAATTCAAAGAATTTAAATAATATTAAAGATACCGTCACAGAACTAAGCCCCTATAGAAATCCTCACATGAATATATTAAATGAAGTATCGATATAGATGGATTAATCGTAGAAATTTAAACAGAAGTCACAAATAAAGTAGGAGGTTTTGTATTGCATTTTATTCACTATTACAATATTCTGTTCTCATGATCGTTGACTTTAAAATAATTGCCCGCCATAGATAAGGTCGAATTCACCTACGGATCGTGGATTATTTGATAGCTGTCAGAACGTTGATGGTTTTACTAACATGAAATAATAAACGGAAGGACATCTGAGTTCTTCCTTTACCATTCCAGCTGGACAGTCACCATATGACCTGTACTCAAGTGTACGACGTACAATCAACCAAAGCAAACAAATTACCAAAGACAAAAATAAAAGAGTAAATGAAAGCTTTGGCTACCCATAGACAATGTACTTGATAAGCACTTTGTAAGTTAGAAAAAAATAATATGAAATGTTGAAAACAAACCTTTAAGTGTGACTTTGGACTTGCACAGTTGAACAGATTTCCAAAGTTCATAAGACCTCTTTGGAAACGTGATGTCTTTGTTACAACATGTTCGCTCTTATCAGACGAAGCAGCGCTAGCCCCCCTTAAAACATCGGATTTTGCTTCTTTGCCAGCCTTGGTAATTTCAGATAAAGCGTTGTCTTTTGCAAAACGAATATTAGAGATAGCTTCAATTTTCTGTCCAACAATATCGCTTTTTGCCTGATTCCCGGCTTTGTTTATTTTAGATATACAATCATTAGTATTCCCAGCAATGTCTTGTAATGCCTGATCCCCGGCTGTGTTTATTTTAGATATACCATCAGTAGTATTCCCACCAATGTCTTGTATGGCCTGTTTCCCGGCGGTGTTAATTTTACATATACCATCAGTAGTCTTCCCTGCAATGTCTTGTATTCCCTGTTTTCCGGCTATGGTAATCTGTGCCATTAGAGTTTGCTTTACCGATGTCCCAGCGTTTCCGACATCAACTAAAACGGAATTCTTAAATTTATCAACATCTAGTCTTAATGTATTGCGTACAGCTAATGCTTTCTCATCAAGTTTACGCAATGATTCTGCTGTTCTTTCGTCAAGTTCGGTTAACGCCTTATTTCTGTTCTCAAGAAGTGTTACTGTGTCTCCTTGACTTATGTGAATTGTGTTGTTTCTTAACTGTAATGCAAAAGGCATACACAAGTGTAATATTGAAACATTGAGTTTAATGTGCCTAGTTTAACAGTTTAACAGAACTATCACAGTATATACACCATGGTCCGCTTAAACAATCGCTTGAGCGAGCGAGGTAAATACATAAAATACTAATTTCGAAAATGTCCTCTTCTTTTACTTAAAGAGTTACATGAAATCGATAATTTATGTTTAAGTCCATTTTTAAAAACTGTATTTTTCGAAAAAAGCTTCCTAAAATATTTCTTTTTTCATACTTAGAACAACGATTTTCAATTCAACATATTATCGACGAGCATCTTCACTTGACACTTCAAAAATAACCATTCGAGCTCCATAAAATTAACTTTTTCTTAGTGTACTGACATTTTTTTATTTGCTATTATAATTAATAATAATTCTATACGATTTTTGTAGGCCAACTATTTTACTGATTCTGATATTTTTTATGTTTAGCTATTTTGAATGATTTAAACCTTTCACTGCCATATGCCGTCCCTATTATTTTCGGTGTATTTGCCATATGGATGGCTTTTGCCGTTTCTATAATAATAATAATGATAATAATAATACTTATAATAATTAATTATAATTATCATAATAATAATAATAATAATAATATTAATAATAATAATAATAAATATACAATGTATAGATAATTATACCATCGACAATAATTATTATATGCTAGCAGATTTGGAAACATATATAATTATTATAATACTAATAACATACAAAAATAGGTGATCAATAAAAAATAACCCTCTAGCAGCGAAAGGGTTAATTATCTATAAACAAACGTTTACGGTGTTTTATTGTATGGACATGGTTTGGGAACAAACAAGCAATTTACAACTAATTGAAGTAATGTTTTGCATTTAGAAGCCTTTTTGAATTTGTCAAAGGAACGTCAAATATGATTGCTATGGATTTCTTATATCATAATTTAAAGATTTAAAAATTTATTTTTCCTAACAATTATTTTCGATCAATGTATACAAATGCCGTTTTGGTATTCAATCGTCCAGTTGAAATATCATTAAACTGGCGGTATTTATTTGATTAATACAACTGATGTATAAATTATACAATTTGTTAAATAATTGACACTTGAAATCAAACAAGACCCGTTCGCGGACAGAGCGCTTCAATTTTCTCAGTGCTTGATAGTACAAGAACCGGTTGAACTGAGTGATGCTCCCGAAATAGGTTTTGAGCATACCTGTTGTAGTGTCAGAGTTATGTCCCGAGCAAAGTTCAAAGGGTAAAAAATGAACAAAGGGCAATAACTCCAAAAAGGCTAGGCAGAGATATGTTTCTTTTGCATGGCACATCTGCAAAGGCTAGGAAGAGTTATGCTTCTTTTGCCCAATGAGATTTATGTAACCTCAAAGTTTTTTGTTTATATAATATTGTTTCAGAACTATGTCACGGACAAAGTTCAAAGAGAAACAAGAGGACCATGATGACCCTCGACTTCGAGTTTTTAATAGAAGATTTTTTTATGTTTTTACTTTAGACATATAAGGGAAATCAGACCCCCGGGGCGGTGCCAATTTTATTTTAGCAAATTTTGTAGACACTCACTAAAAGATGTTTCATGCTTAATATCTAAGCTCTAACTCTATAGATTATTTAAAAGAAGGTTTTAAGTTTTTACTATAGATATATAAGGAAAATCAGTACCCCGGGGCGGGGTCAATTTTGATCACAGGCCTTGTATTTGAATAAACTTGGTAGACACTCACTAGAAGATGTTTCATCCTCAATATCTAAGCTCTAATTCTTTGGGTTTTTAAAAGAAGATTTTTAATATGTATATATAAGGAAATTCAATGACCCCCGACCCCCCCCCCCGGCGCGGGGCTAATTTTCGCCCCAGGGCTTTTATTTGAACAAACTTGATCGACATACATAAGACAATGTTTCATGCCAAATATTTAAGCCTGAACTGTTTCGGGTTTTTAATAGAAGTTTTACTATATACATATAAGGAAAATCAATTTTGACCCAATGGCTTTTATTTGAAAAGGAATGGTAAACACGCACTAGAATATGTTTAAATTCAAAATATTTTTACTCTAGCTCTAGCAAGATTGTTTTAAGCTTTTACTATATACATATAAAGAAAATAAATGACGCCCCGGGCGGAGCCAATTTTGACCCCAGGGCATTTATTTGACAAACTTGGTAGACACTAAACAGACAATGGTTCAAGCCAAATATTTAAGCTCTTGCTCTTTAGGTTTTTTAAAAGAAGTTTTTTAAGGTTTTACTATATACATATAAGGAAAAGCAATGACCCCCCTGGGGCGGGGCAAATTTTGACCCCAGGGCTTTTAATTGAACAAACTTGATAGACACTCACTACATCTGTTTCATGCCAAATATCTAAGCTCTACCTTTTTGTTTTTTTTTAAAGAATATATTTTAAGTTTTTTCTTTCGGTTGCCATGGCAACCAGAGTTCTGGATGGATTTATTTCTTTGAACAATTTTTAAAGTTGACTACCAAAGGACCATTCCCGTGAAGTTGGTTTAGCGGTTTATGAGGAGATTTAAAGTTTACGGACGGACGGACTACGGACGAAAAGTGATCACCTAAGCTCACCATGTCTTTTTGTGACAGGTGAGCTAGAAATGAACGAAGGGCAATAATTCCAAAATTAGGCAAGTCAGAGTAATGGTACTTTGGCACTGCAATTCTAACCAGTGAGATGTATCTACATATCAAATGTCATGTTGATATTTTACAGTATCAGAGTTATAGCCCGGACAACGTTCAAAGGGTTAAAATGAACAAAAGGCAATAATTCAAAAAAGGCTAGGCAGAGTTATGTTTCTTTTGCACGGCATATCTGCCTAATGAGATCTATCTTACTACAAAATTTATTGTTTATATATCTTATGGTTTCAGAACTATGTCACGGACAAAATTAAAAATGTAAAAATGAATAAGGGGCAATAACTCCAAAATTAGGCATGTCATAGTTATGGTACTTTGGCACTGCACTTCTAACCAATAAAATATATCTACCCATAAAGTTTAATGTTGATATCTCTAACAGTTTCAGTTATGTCCCGGACAAAGTTCAAAGTGTAAAATTGAACAAAGTATAATAACTCCAAAATAAGGCAAGGCAAAGTTATGGTTCTTTTGCACTGCACTTTTACTTAATAAGATCTATCTACCTGCATAGTTTCATGTTGATATCTCTTATAGTTTCAGAGTTATGTCCCTGACAATATCAAAGTATAAAAATGAACAAAAGCCAAAAAAATCCAAAATTGGGCAATACATTGTTAAGGTTCTAATGCACTGCACACCTTCCCAATGAGATCGATCTACCTACAAAGTTTAATGCTGATATCTCTTGTTGTTTAAGAGTTTTCAAAAGAGAATCAAACCTCAGTCATATTGTACCGAGAAATGTCTATATTTATATGTTTCTTACGAGAACTTATGTTATATGTTAAAGTTTCAAATGAATACAACCAGTACATTATTGTCATTCTAAAGATTGATTTGCTTGCAAAGCTTCAACACGAATTTTCTTACATCACAAAAGACCATTACTCAGTCTAAATTGTGTTACATTCATTGGGTTTATAGAGTAACCTCCATTAATGATCTCCAAACCTGTATATAACGAATAAATGTCTTCACTTCTGAAAATTGATGTTACATACTAAAGCTTAAATGACTCTACCGAGGTAATTTGGCATGACAAGACTGGAAAAGATTTTACGAGATTAAGGTTCCATTACATGCAGGTCTAGTTCAATAACTTTTATGGACCATTTCAGATCATGCGCACTCTGTTTTCCCAGAACAATTATTCTTATTGTGGAATATGACCAACAATTTAAAAGCAATACAAAACTGTTCATTCAAATCAGGCTTAGAAAAGTAAACAAATATGATTTTCTGAGTATATTCTTTATTAACTTTTGCTTACATTTCTGTTTTAAGTGTCCGAGCTGATTTATGTAAGAAATTCGAATTTTATATTTTTCGGCTTTTAGTCCTGTCCTCAGTAGTGTTCCTTTGACCAAGAATTTTCCGAGCTCACAGACGGCTTATGATCAGTCAAAATTAATGTCAGTGTAATGGTCATTGGCTAGTGACCTCTATTTATGGTCACGAAAACATGCATTAAGAATAAAGTAAAACCTTCAAGTTCTCAAAGGGCAATAATTTAGTAAAACCCACCTTAGAGTTACAGGTTCTGGATAAATTTTGTTTTGGAAAGTGACATCCAATTATGATATCGAATACATGTACTTCACTTAATTCCAAATGTTTGACGGTTGCGTTGCTTGTAAATGCCGTTTGCAATGTGAATTACTTTTTTGTTTACTTCATTTAAGTACATTTTTCAAAATACTGATGAAATTAGTATGAACATGAAGGCATGCTTCTTTAAGGAAAATATATATACTAGTCATAAACATACAATAAGCTGTGTTTCATTTGGAAATCAAAACACAGTTTCATATATACGGTTATGGTCTGTGAAATCTGATCCTTATTATCAAGAATATTATTCACATGGTTTTTGACCTAGGCCGAGTGGTTAAGGTCATTGACTCCAAACCACTTGCCTCTCGGCGCTGTGGTTTCGAATCCCGAAAGGGACTTTGGATTCTTTCATGTGAGGAAGCTAACCAGCTATTTTACGGAACTTCGGTGGTTCTACTCAAGTGCCCGTTCGTGCCTGAAATAATGCACGGAAGGACACCTCCGAACAGCTGGAACGTCGCCATATGACCTCTACTGTGTCAGTGAAACGTAAAACCCAATCAAACAAACAAACAAATTTACCGGCTCTTGTCATTGAATCATTTTCAAGCATATTTTCGGCACATTTAAGCGATTTTATGCACTTATCAAGAGAAAAATCAAACTCAAAGACTTTGAAGCACTTTTTTTCATTTATAAGGGATGGTTTTTGCCACTATAAAACAAAATGTAAATGATATATCTAAAATAAAATGTACAAAAACTTTAACTTTTTGGAGAGTAATTAGTCAATGATTACAAAATATATGAATTGAAACGTAAAACATTTCAATTAATTGCAATGTTTACAAAACCGCTATTTGTTTTATGTACAAGAAACAATCATTATGTCATTGTTATGCAAGCACTGCTAACATTGTAATAAAAACTTAGAAATAACATAATTTTGCATGCGTACCAGTTTTCCTTCAGCCGAGTATCTTTTCAAAAGATATCTCTTGCTTTTTTTTATTGAGTTTAACGTGACTTAAATTTTACTGATGCTATCTAAGAGCACTTTAGCCCTTGCGAATCTTGCGACCCCACTCGGACGTTCCACGTATTATTTTGGTCATTAAAAATGAAAACGGAAACGTTACTTTTTCAACAAGAACAATGATTTGTCAAATTAAGTTACTAACTGTAGAGTAAGTACACCTCAACAGTGGTAATTTCATTGTGTCAAAAGCACTTCAAAGAGGGGTTCATATCAGATGTTTAATATTTTTTATTTAACATATTTATAGGAATCTAATTTGTCAATCAATTCAGTTAATAATTCTGGAAAATAGGAAAACACACGTTTTGTTCCAAACAACAACCTTAGATATGTAATCAATATAAACAGCCATCAAATAGTCACAGTGGAAATGATTATGTAATATTATTTGACCGTGAGTAAGGAAACAAAATACACACTTATCTGAAAATTAGGTATGTCATTGTTACAACAGTAAATTCTAATGTAACATGATGCATTTTTTATTAGTACACATTTATTTGATCATATTCTTTAAGTATTAAATCATTTGCAAATTGACTTATCACCATATTTATCCGTAGCTAAAACACGTTGCACAACTAAATACCTTCTGTGTGAGCAATACAATTTCCAAACAACAGAGAACTTAGTGATTTGTTCGATAACTTTATTCTATCAATCAAGAGGAAAAATCACTTTATCACAATTATTCGGAATATCAATTTGTCGGTCAAATATCCCACAATATACGTCATTTATATTATTCTTCGCATTCAATTCTAATTCAACTTCTATATTCCATTATATCAATTTAATATACAAACTACTCATTATATACTTAGTCCCTAACTCTAGCTATTTATCAATTCTGAAACAATATTGTTCTGTTTAAGTAACAGTGATCTTTACCGTAACCCCATGGTGTCCAAAAGCAAGCATAATCTAGTTTTTATCCAAATAATAAGCTATGCACTTTGTTTTCTTATGTCAGATTCCTAACTTTAATTATCAGCTTGAAATATGTTGTTATTTTTTATTTCAAAAATATTTATATTGACCCATAATTGTTCTGTCCTCGTAGTCGTTTTCTTTTGTCTTGTCCCTTGATCAAAACATTTGTAGTACAATGTTAAATCATCCGTTTTGAGACAAATTTGCATGCACAACCAAGTACCGAATATGATAAAAAGTGCAAATTGATTTAATATGCTTGGTATAAATATTATATTTCTCGTATCTTTTGTATTTCAGTCATCATTTAAATGTAATATACCAAAAATAACGCAAATACAACCGGATGTCAACCCTTCAAAAGTTCAACGAAAATTTCAAATCAAAGCATATACTCACTTATCACATTAATGTATCAGATTTGTATTGTACATGTATACTAATATTATATACCTGTGTTAGTTTAAGAACCGCTTCCTTTGATGCCTTATCGTTAATCAGACCATTTGGATCTTGAACATGTTGAAGAACTACAATGAATGCGTCCAAATAAGAACACACAGTTGTTTCGTCTATTTCAAGCTTTGAGCTATGTAAGATTTCATTACGGATATCTCTCGCCTGAAAGAAGTTTTATAATAAATTAATGTAGAAATGGAATCACATAATTCCTATTATTATTTCGTGTTGTTTTTGTAAAACATGTATCAACATAAAGAACATTATTGTTTTTGCTTGTGGAAAAGGAATAGTTTGTTTTAATAAGCACTTTAATAATTTGATACTTCTAATGTTATACTGAAGAACTGAAGAAAGTCTGCAGTTCGAATTCATATTTGGATGTTTACATTAATTTTCAGGATATATAACAAACTGATTTTAATGATTACGTTTAATTTTGAAATAAAATGGATATATGATAATTTTAAACAATTGGTTTCTTCAGTAATTAAATAAATGTTTGATAATATAATTATTGGCTGTTTTCTGTACTTACAATATGAAACGACCTAGTATTGTTATAAGGATTAATACTGCTCACAAAGTTTTGCATTTGCTTGTTGTTTATAATAATGCTTAGGAGACCAGCAGCATCTGTATCTTTAGCTGATGTTCCTGGACCTTTAGTTGTTTGGAAACATTTTGCATAGCTCCACCCACCAGGATCCGAACACCACGTACTTGGGTCAGTGTTTTTCCATAAGGGGTCTTCAAATACATGCTCGTGTATAATTGAGTCGTAGAATTTACTACAAATGCTACCAGGGCATTTCCTACGCCCTACAGGTCTGCTTCCAAAACAGTTGGTCGGACTCTTTTGGGTACATGTGCGTCTGCTACATGCCTTTGTAGTGTTGAAATGATCAGGAGACAGATTATGTGACGTACACTGGTTGCACTGCTGTGGTGATCCAGATGGTAATGTCAATATTATCTTTTGAAGGGTATTGTCACGACATTGCAGTACCTTTTCTCCAACAAATTCTTGAAGACCTTCCTGTAAGTATTCTAGTCCTTTTGAGCCTCGAACCCAATTCGTAAACAGATCTGAATCCAGTTCCTCACTACCCATTATAGCATTTTCAAAACAGGTCCGTCTGAATGAAAAAAAAAAATAGAAATGTGATAATACAATGTTTATTAATGCAATAAGATCGACATTTTAATCACGCTAGTGTATTCAAACTGGAACTAAAATATCTTTTTTTATTTACTTTTTTAAAATTATATTATAATGCTATGAGAAACAAAACCTCATATTTCCGATCATTTTTTATGTTTTTCATCTTTGGTGTCATCTTTGGTTTGAGGTAAACAGGGGAGGGATCGATGTGATAATAGTCTTTATCACATCACATCAAAGACAAAGACACAGCACAGCACAACTAAGCACAGCATAGTATATTATCATATTATAACATAGCATAACATAACACAACATTACAAAACATAGCATAAAACAGGCGGTCATTAATTGATAATTGAAGATGCCATCTGTTGGGCTAATGTTTGACTTTGCAAAATAATTCTCACATAATTGGCTAAACATGTATACATTATGCAGCATTCAATTGTATACATACAATTATAGTCATGCAGTTCAAACGTAAAGTGGTGTTAATTGTTATAGGGTAGCATTTTTAACAGTTCTTGACAAGTACATTTGGTACACAAGATTATTGACCTTTTCAAGCCGAATTATCTATAATAGTAATTATAACAAAGGTATGACAAAAATGGCATGATCAAAACTATACATAGAACATATCATCATCAACCCGTTAAACAGAGACTTTCATTATTACAAAGATGACATTACTATTGTACGTACTACGCATATTAATATTGAGGTTATCTCCCTTTAAGTAATATGCATTAATTAAAATGAGTGTACATATAAATGTATAGTCTATTGTAAGGCATTTACTTTGAATGCATTACACTGTTTAGTTGCCAAGTTATTATATGTTTTGGTATTAGTGCTTGACGAGTGCTTCTTACTTCAGCATTGTAGACAATAAAAACTTCTCTAGTTCACTATTTACTATAAACAATATGAGTTAAGTTATGATGATTATGGTATTATATTATAATTTCAACTTTAATAGGACTAGAAAATCGCTACGTAAGTGTTCCGCCGCATGTTAATTTATCGCTTTTAATATACTAATGAGCCCTGGCATGGCATTTGCAATTAGTGGTCAAATGACGAAATCGTAGAAACGTTACATTTAAGTTGATTCTATTTTTAATCATACGACGCGTGGTTTTCCAATCAGAGTTGTGCAACTTTAAACAGTGCGCGCACCAGTTGTATGTAAGCATGAAAAAAAGCAAACCCACTCCTTTGATGTTCTTAAATATTAAAAATTGTCACCGCATGATGTCCGTTTTCCGCAGTGTAAAGATTAAGTAAAACCTGCGCTGATAAACTTGTTCTAGTTAACTTGAACCATTGACAAAACACTTACTGAATCGTATCTTAAGTATCAACCAAGACAATTCCAAAGTAAAATGAGTTGACAAATCTAATTTCCTCTATTTAAAATATGACTTGACAAATCTAATTTCATCTATTCAAACGACAATTGATATGTTGTCCTTGCAACACATTCAATACTTCAATAACAATTACATTTTCCTATTTGATTATTGTTTTATATCCAGTGTCAAAATGTTTTTAAAGTAAATCTCTTTATTGTAACATGTCGTGGCCGATTCCGCGTTGCAACGGATTTTACTGAAGAAAGAATAAAAAAATATAAAACTCCAAATCATCCAAATTTTAACCGAACACGCCGAAGCTTCCAGCTTTTTATACGATTCACCGGTCTAGGCTGGACTTTATTTTATTTTATATATTTAAATGGCAAACCAAATTTAATCTTACATAGCAGATAAAAACCTTTTATTTTAGAGACCTCTTTTAACAGCAGCAAGTTTTGCTTTAAGCGCAAAGATATGAAGATGAGATGATACTTGTTTTTAAGAATTCTTTTAAAAATTAGCCATATTTTCATTGATGTTTGAAGGAGTCAACAGCTTGTCATAATATTTGGTACAAATTTGCAACATCATAATATACAAGATTCTGACCCCTAAACAAAGTTATGGTTCTTAAACCTCCTGATTTTTTATAAAAAATACGGTTTTAGATGATAACTCTTGAAGAAATCAACAAATCATTTAATAGATATTACATGTACTTTTTTGGTACAAACATGTAACATCAAACAATACAGGTCATGTATGAATATGGGTTCAGACTACTAAATTTTACAGAGTCATTGCCTTTTTAATCTTCAGATTTTCTAAAGAAAAAAAAAAGGTTTCCAAATGATAACAACTGAAGTAGTCAATGGATTATTTTTTTTTCATACAAATATTTAATTCAGGATTTCAGCAGTACCTATAGACGCTTGCAGAAATCATGATCACAAAATAGACAAACATCGTTTTATTTCGCCGTTTTTCACATTATTCTTTTTCAAACATAATCATACATAAATCGGTGTGAAAAGATGAAATAGACCTTTTAAAGTTCATTCCGTTTGGTGAAAGGATAAGAGTTTAGCATTTTAGCATTTTATTATACAAGCGCCTTCTCTGGTATATATCTGAATACGGTATATAGTGTGGTGCTCCAATCCCCTTTTTCCTTTTTTGCAGTCTCACTCTCATTGTATACACACCGGCCTCTCAAATATTGACAATAAGACCGTAATAATCACACGGGCGTAATATTACCACGAATATTCATCAAGAGTATTCACATTTTACCCCTGGGGGCCATAGGTTTTCCTTACATATATGCGGTATAAACTTGAGATTTTCTCCTCTGAATTGACGTAGGCTAGGGAATAGAAATTTGTCATGACACATTATGTAGCGAAACTCTATTAAGATTGTTTAATTCATAGCCCTAAATTCAAAATTGGCCTCGTCCCTGGAGTCATATATATATAGGTTTTTGTTATATGTATACAGTAAATTAAAAAAAAAAACTTGTCTGAAGATTTAAGTCTTAGAGCTTAGAAAGTTGGTATATAATATCATCAGTAGATCCTCTCCCATAGTTGATCAATTGTTGGCACTAGTGAACTGAACAGTGAACTGGTCCCAGGGTGTCATAGGTGTTGCTCATGTTAATATAGTAAAATCTTAAAACATATTTTCCTCTGACTATACAAAGGCTAGACATTAGATATTTGGCATGAAACCTTCACTTGTGTAGACCTTTACCAAGATTCTTTAAATTATAGCCCTGGGGTCAAAATGAGCTCTGCCAGGGGGTTATAGGTTTTCCTTATATGTATATACTAGTAGTAAAAACTATGGCATGCATTTTTTCCCGTGTGTGTGTTTAGCATGTAACTCTTAGTCTTGCTGGATGACTCAATTCCGCATGTTAACACTGAAGATTCCATTTTAATATTCCAATATTGTATACTGTAGATAATAGACAGGTGTTTCGCAAACTGATTTCTGTACTGCGCTTAAGTTTTGCAAACCATATAGTTTAGTATCTTAATTGCCTGGTAAAATACAGCCTTAGTCTGTAGGAACGAAACTTTTTCCTTGTCCCATTAATAACTTAAAAAGAAATAAGCCGAGGTTTGTGTAACTTGTTAGTGATATTGACCGTAGCCAGAAGATGACCTCTATTGATTTTGAGGTCAGTCAAAATCAACATAGTTTTGAGGACACAAATAAAGACCGTAATGTCAACATGGTCAAGCAATGTATACCTCAGTGTTTGCAGTACTTTGATTTAAAATATATTCTTGAGCACTTTATCAAACTGCACTTAATCAAATATCTTTTAACGTCTGGTGTTGTTTTTTTACTTATAAAGTATCTACCAGAAAAAATAAAAACACAATTACATGTATATGCATTCATATGAAAATGACGACTCATATGAAAATTACAAAAATATACTTTTTTATACATTCCCGCGTTTTGGGAAAACTTAACATTCGCAGAAAAGTTATGCCATTAAATTTATTTATTATTTTGGAATGAAATGGTATTTATATTTCGTGTTATTTAGAGTGTATATAAGATTATCACGGCACTACTCCAAACCGTGGGATTATAACGAAGCGTCGTAATAAAACAAATTGTACAAATAGTAGTATTCTAAAAAAAGTTTACCATTATACACAGAACTATAATAATCACACGCTGTCACATAAATTGTTAAAACTATTGAACACAGGTAAAATTCAAATTGTCTTTATTTTCAGTTTCATGGTTAACGTTGCTTGAATAATCAGTAACCCCGTGACCTTAAATATCTATTAATACTGTTCTCATCAAAAATTGTGGAAGCCATACAACAATGAACACCCTTCCCTTTTACGTATGTATTAATATGTTCCAAGCACTGAATATATAAATATAACTTTATTGGAGAGGTCATCAGACTTCTCCACAGTGTTGAGAATGATTGCTGGCGGCATCCATTTGTGCGTATCAAATTGAAGCTATTGCATCGTATTTTAAGCCTTAACACATTAGAATCAGTCTACAAAAATGTTATGCGCATGCTCCGCCTCAAAATACGACTTAACTTAAACGAAAATTTAACATCGAAGTGAACAAATCGGTATAAGGAAAAATCGGAAAATATCTGTTATGTTTTCTATAGAGAAGTAACACGTCTTTAATGCTTAACTATCGTTTATTAACTGATTTGATACAGAGCGTGGCATGCTAAGATAGGGTTAGTAGGCGGGGCTTATTAGTAATACATTCTGACCAATGAATAACAGAGTTATACACAACAGTTCTCCCTTCTTAACATTTTAGTCCATTATCATATAATTAATACTAAAAATATAATCAAATAACAAGAAAGAGACAACTGGTAGAATAATTTAACAACATGAGATATACGAGATTAATTCATTCGTAAACCAGATCAAACTATCGACCTATTGTTCGTAATTCACCTTTGACTTTTATTACAGTTCACACGAGTTCATTCAGTGGTATTTTTACAACAAAGTAGTGTAATGTTTAATTAGATAGCACATTAACTGTCTGTACGCTCTCGAATGTTTATACAGTTACGTAGTCAACTCAGTATGAGAAACGATTAGGTGGTTTGCGTTCTCTCAATGGGTATCTTCGTTCCATTAACATTTGATCTGATCTTTTATTTTCATTTAATGATGGCATTTTCTCAGGATTACCAGTTACTAACAAAGGGTCATTTCTCTCGGTCATAACTGGCATTTCTGACAAATTAAGCGGGATCATGTTTAACGGTGAACTTTCTCGGCGAGGAAGCTCATTATTCATTTCTGATTTCCGTAGCTGGTCAACATGCCTTCTCCAGACTTGATTGTTACCGATATCAATTTTATACATGAGAGGTCCCTCGCGGGATAAAAATGTACCCGATAACCATTTTTCGGTTGAAGTAGGCCTATAGTCTCGCGCTATTATTGAGTCTCCTTCTTTAAACTCACGGAAATTTCGCGATTCCGATGTTGCGAGTTTCATTCTTTGTTTTTCGACATTACCGTCTGTATCCGGTTTTAATAAGTCTAACTTGCTTCGCAAAATCCTGCCCATAAACATCATCGCAGAACTTTTTTGTGTGCTTTGATGTACAGAATTGTGATATGTTAACAAGAAATTTGCCAACTTTAGATTTAGGTCTCCTTTATCAAATTTCATTGCTCGAATTCTTGACTTAAAAGTGCCGTTCAAACGTTCCACTAAACCATTTGTGGAGGGTTTAGCAACTGCGGTTCTTATATGAAAAATACCGTTATTTTTCATAAATTGCGCAAATAAATCTGATGTAAATTGTACACCATTATCGCTTACCAATTGTTTTGGTATACCATAACGACTAAATATGGTCCTTAATACATTGACTGTTTTTTCGGCAGACGTACAATTTCCCATATCCTCTATTTCAGCCCATTTGCTTCGAGCACAAACTATTACTAGGAACATATGACCTTGAAATGGACCTACAAAGTCTACATGAACGCGTTCAAAATTAGAACGCGCATTTTCCCATGGGTGAAGTTGAACTTTTTCGGGCATTTTCTGCTGCATTTGACAGCCCTGACATTGTCTCACCATGTGTTCAATGTCTGAGTCAATGCCAGGCCACCAGGCATAACTTCGCGCTAAATGTTTTCATTTTAACTATTCCACTGTGGCTACAGTGCAGAAGATATAGAACTTGACCTCTGAGTTCCTTGGGAATAACAACTCTAATTTCCAACATTAAACAGCCTTTTTGAATAGTTAATTCGTTCGGGCGCGTGTGACAACTTTTCAGGACTGGATTCTCTCAGTTCATTCTCCAGCCCTTGTTTACTTTAAATTTTACATTTTCGTAGACACACGCTGCGTTTCGCGCTAGTCATAGGAAGTTTATCAAATTGTTCATTGAAAAATACTTCCTCAAATTACATTCATTTTCTAATATTGATGGCGCGGGCAAACGTGACATTCCATCGACATTAGTATGTTTCTTAGTACTTTTATATTCTATATCATAATCAAGCCTGACAAATAAACCGCATATCGTTGTATTCTCGCAGCAGAAGTGGCAGGGATGCCCTTGCTCGGAGAGAATATAGACAACAGTGCTTGACAGTCTGTTATCAGCGTGAATTTTCGACCATATAGATACAGATAATATTTGTGTACTGCCCAGTATATTGCAGTAGCTTCCCTTTGTACTTGCGCGTACATTCTTTCAGACTTTGATAGCGAACGGCTTGCAAATGCAATTGGTTTCTCACTGCCATCAGGCATTACATGTGATAATATTGCAGAAATACCGACAGGGGAAGCATCCGTTGCTAACCGTACGGGTAATTTCGGATCGTAATGCGTAAGGACGGGTTCTGACGTAATCAAATCTTTTGATTTCGCAAACGCGTTTTGACATTCTTTAGTCCAAACAAACTTACGCCCCTTTTCTAGCAGTTGATTAAGCGGTTTAATTACCGTGGCTAGGTTATTTAAGAACCTATGATAGTAATTTAGTAATCCGAGATATGCCCTGAGAGATGTGACATTTTGTGGACGTGGTGTATTTAAAATAGAATCCACCTTATCATTACATTTCCACAGACCGTTTTCATCAATTTCATGACCACAATATGTAATCCTCTCTTGAAAGAACTGACATTTTTCTTTATTCACTTTTAAACCATATTTTGACAACCGTTGCACTACTGTTTCTAAGTTATTTAAGTGAGCTTGATCATTTTCTCCTGTAATGACCATATCATCGAGAATGCACTGTACTCCTGGTATTCCTTGAAGAATTTGATAAATTGTTCTTTGCCATATTGCAGGTGCTGATGATACTCCATATGTCAATCTATTATAAGAATATAGACCTTTGTGAGTGTTAATCGTTAACATTTGTTTTGTTTTGTCATCGCACTCCAATTGAAGATATGCTTGGCGTAAATCCAACTTTGAATATTTCTTTCCATTTGCCAGATTTGCGAAAATGTCATATATTCTCGGAAGTGGGTATTTATCTACATTTATAGCTTGATTTACGGTGACTTTGAAATCTCCACAAATTCTAACTCCTCCCGAAGATTTAACAACGGGCACAATAGGTGTAGCCCATTCTGATGTATTCACTTTCGTAATAATGCCCTGTTCTTCTAGGATGTCTAATTCCTTTTCTATTTTCGGTTTTAACGAATATGGTACTGGCCTAGCTTTTACGAATTTCGGTGAAGCATTCTCTTTGACAGATAGCGTTGCTTTAATATCTTTAACTTTCCCGATACCGTCGGAAAACACTGACTCATATCGCTTCATAATATCGGCTATACGTGTTTGTGTTGAGTGATCATCAATTGAATTCACATGTACAATACGTGACCAGTCCAATACAATTTCATTCATCCAGTCCCGTCCAAACAATGCGGGACCGTTGCCCATGACAATACACAGTTTCAGCGATTTTGACTGTCCATTGTACCTTACATTTACCAGTTTTGTTCCGGCTTGCTGTATTTCTTCACCAGAATATGTCTTTAACACTGATGTGGGCTTATCCAATGTAACATTTCCAAAACACTTCTGGAACTCTTCTCTTGACATCAGAGAAACAGCTGAGCCCGTATCGACTTCCATTTGTAAGGGTCTGTCGTCTATCTCTGGTGTGATGGTGATTTTCCTGCTCGAACCTTTGGTCACGGAATTTATACTCATCACAGGAACGTCGTTGTTTTTCATGGCATGTACGTCTCGTGCACGTGCTTTCAGACAAATACTTTTAATGTGTCCATGTGCATTACATGCATGGCAAATGGCATTCTTAAATCGGCATTTGAAAGATGCATGATTATCTTTACCACAGTAAATGCACTTTCCGTTTTGTTTCACGGTCGAGTTTGCGTTTGCCGGTTTTTGCCGTGGCCTGTGTTCAACTCTTCTCGAAGGTTTTTTTTTCTCAACCTTATTTACACTTGCGGTCAACGACTGAAGTTCTGCGGCGTCCTTCGTTGCTGTTCCCATAGCAACTGCTGTTTCAACAGCTTTCTGTAAACTGAAGTCTTCCATCGCCAATAGTTTACGCTGTATGTGCTCATCTTTAAGTCCACAAACTAAGCGATCCCGTAACGTATCGTTTAGGCTGGCTTGGAAATCGCAATGTTCTGCCAATTTCTTCAGTGTAGTTACATAATCATTTACACTTTCACCCGCCGCTTGGTTTCGTTTGTGAAATCTAAATCGTTCAGCTATAATCAATGGCTTTGGGTTAAGATGTTTATTCAATAATTCACAAAGATAGTCATATGACTGTGTTGAAGGTTTGTCCGGTGATGTCAAATTTCGAAGTAACCCGTAAGTTTTTTCTCCAAGTAAAGTTAATAAAGCTGGAACTTTTTTCTCGTCGTCTATTTCATTTACTAAAAAGTACTGCTCTAAACGTTCTTGATAGCATGTCCATGATTCTGAATTGCCATCAAATCCAGATAAATGTCCAATTAATGCAGCCATTTTAACACTTATAAATTAAATCCAGAATTTTACACATATTATGATAATAACATTAATATCTAATAGATAAAATCCCTGAAATTTAATGTTCAATTATCCTCGTCGCCAGATTGTTATGTTTTCTATAGAGAAGTAACACGTCTTTAATGCTGAATTATCGTTTATTAACTGATTTGATACAGAGCGTGGCATGCTAAGATAGGGTTAGTAGGCGGGGCTTATTAGTAATACATTCTGACCAATGAATAACAGAGTTATACACAACAATATCATTTACGTTACTTAACACTACGGGCAATGATTCATTCCATTTTTAATCCTTTAAACTGTATAGATCGATACTTGTTTTCTGAATAGCGTTTTACTATTTCATTTTCCGAAAATAAAGAAGTACTATCATATGACCGAGTGAACGGTGTACCGAAAATTTGCTTTGAACTTGTATGACTAATATTCGCAACGGAGATGTTTTGGCGCAAATGGCACAACTTTTTCTCAAGTTTGATTTTCTTGCCGGGCATGCAGCAGTATATATTGTTTATTCCAATCAAATGATATATACATTATTAATGTTAATCTGGGACTTAAAATTGTTTGATTACTTTATGTGCGTTTTGGAAAATCTCTGGTGCCTTTTATATCTCCAAATATTTTCGAAATTAACAAATCTTCAACAGCTGCAAAAAGACCTCTCGCATGCTTCTTTTTAAACTTGTATATGTTCTAAATAAAATACACTTGTGAACAATTATTTAATGAGGTAGTTTTATAAAGGTGCGTAATTTTGTTAATAATCAATTATATTCAGTTTGAAATTTTGACTCATTGGTGAATATATTTTTTTTCGTTGCCCATTTATCACCCTAATCACAAATGTGTTGACTTATACTTAACCTGTTGGATGCGAATATGTGCATACAATGTTCTCAAATGGAATTCACGGGTTGTTAGAAAAAGCAACATCAACAACTAAAAACAAAAAAGAAATAAATGTAAAAAGTGCCTATTCCAGTACACGGCAGTATCTACCGTACAGAGCATTACGCTATTATGCTAATAAGAGAATTATCAGGTAGTAAAATACTTAGGCAATAAATAATGTGTTTTTATACAAGACTTATCGACACCCCTTTTTGTCAATAAATTGATATAAGGAAAGTCAAACACTTGAAACGGTATGCTTCGTGTTTAAGTGCATAATGTTAACTTTCACACCTAGCGAATTTATGAGAATTGGCACACGCATTGTGCATATAACCAATCGGATATGACATTGATCATTTGATCTAGTTGAAAAAAAATTCTTTCTTTTTCAATTCCCTGCAATTACTTTTTTCAAGATGCTCCGGTGTGTTGGATAACAAACATATATGTAAATAAGAAAGACAATTATTGGAAACAATTCATTTTGGAAAACAATATTGTTAATTCTAGTATGTTGGCTTAAATATTAAACCATGCTGCGATAATCACGACTTTACTGTCGCAGGCAGTTTTTACATTTTTTTCAGAGATCAAGTTTGATTTAACATCAAAACATTATAAAAGTTTGCATAAACCTTCAGCGAAGACACATGTAGACACAACATTACGGGGAAAATAGTATTATACTATACGTAATTAAAATATGTTTGATTTAATTTAATATAATTTCGTACGCATGGCCGTTGTAACTTCGGCGCGATATAATCGAACACGTGCACTTTTCAAATTTCTAATACAAATTATACATTTTAGTACTATAAAATGATCTATCTGATTGCACTTTTATTGATAACCTTTTTTTAATGTAATAACGTACGTTCAAAAGCTTCGATTTGTTAAGATAATGTTATTCTAAATAAGAAAAAATGACACAATGAGTGTCTATTTACATCACTGGCAAAATATAACAAACACTCATAGCTATTATCAATATTTAAAATCACAACTGTCTTGAACACTAAGTGAAAACACAATTAATATAACACATTTAATAAGTAAAACTAAAACTTTAAAAAAATATTTATCAGAACATAATTATAATTAGTCATAACGAAGGTTGTCATAATTATTTTAAAATCACTGCAATACATGCTCCCGTGTGTAATTAATTC